CTATTCAAGCCTTGAAATTGACGTAGCGCGAGAATTCTGGTCTTCTAGCGACAGACTCGCCGTTTTCAAACTCAACAGTATGTATTGTGGTGAACAACGTTCAGGATGGAGATGGTGTCATACTTGTGGAAAAAAATATTTTCAAGATAATTTTCAAAACTGGACAAGTGGTGATAATGAAATTGATGAATTAATTAGAAATTTTCAATTAAATGCTAAACACTATACTGATTATATTGAATGGATCCCTTATAATCGACTCAAAGATTTTGAATTTATTGGAGAAGGTGGTTATGGTTCTGTCTCTTCAGCTATTTGGCTTGATGGTCCTTTAATGTTGGTGGACAAATTTGTCAGATTAGGGGAATGCAAAGTAGCTGTTAAAAGCATCAAAAATTTACCTTATAATGTATTTGATGAATTTAAAGCTTCTGAGATATTTAGAGAGGTACGTGATAGCTTATTAGTATTTATATATTTTCATGAATAATAAGCTTACTATAATTTCATTTAGACAATTGCACTTACAGAATCTGCGATTTCGTGTAAAAACGATGTAGTAAATTTTGGTGTTCTTAAATGTTATGGATTAAGTAAGGATCCTAATACCAATTCTTATTTAATTATTACTGAGTTATGTAAATATGATCTTCGGAAGCAACTAGAGTTAAATTTTGGGAATATAGATTGGGTTGAGAAATTACGAATTCTAATGATGACTGCTAATGGCTTAAAAACAATACATTCTGCTGGCCTTATTCATCGAGATCTTCACACAGGAAACATTTTAACAATTATATTTACATTTCAGATCTTGGATTATCATGTTATAAAGACATGGATACAACAAATTCTGTAAACTTTGGTGTATTTGGAGTTTTACCATACATCGCACCAGAAGTTTTAAATGGAGGTCTATATACTTCAGCTTCAGATATATATAGCTTTGGAATTATTATGTGGGTTATTGCATATGAAGAACTACCTTTTTCTGATAAAATGCATGATAATATCAATTTATATTTTGCCATTTGTGATGGAGAACGCCCACAAACTGATAGAGACGTGTTTATACCTAAATGTTATAAAGAGTTAATGGAACAATGTTGGGATGTTGATCCATCAAATAGGCCAGATGTTAATGAATTATATGAAGTCTTGAGAGGATGATATCTTGCTGGAACAAATTCTAATCAATTTAAGAATTCAAATAGAAAACAAAGTAATAATAAAATAATAAATCCATCACAACAACGGCCATGTTACAATGAATATATATCAATCAACTCAGAAGATTTTCTAGGTAAGTTATATGTACTGTATTATATATTATATTAATACTAGAATATTATATTATTTACTTGAAAATTTTTATTTAGACCTTAATACAGATTTGGAATTTATAAAAATAATGAATGTGTGATAGCTTTTGATTTTATTATGTTATGCATATAATTATAGAACCACTAATAATCGGAGATATATAGCAATGACCCTTTGTAAAATACGTTCTTTAAGTCTAGGAAAGAATCCTATTAGTTTTGCTGGCATAAAAGCATTGGTAGAGTCGTTTTTTATAAATAATATACACTGACTTTTTAGACCTTGATAGAAGTCATTTCGGCGCTAAGGAGGGAGAGGGAATGGCAGAAACGCTTTGTGAAAACATCATTTACTTTTAAATTTTTATAATTAGCAGTTTTAATGGAAAAAAATGAATCTTTACAATACTCCAATTTCTTAAACCTTTTTAAGGATAAACATAGTTTTAGAAAGGAAAAGTATAGGCAGAGGCTCTTTGCAATAAATGCCGATTCATAAAGATCATGAAATATTTATAAATATAAATATGCATAAAAATCATTATATTTTTAAATATCTTATTCTTTTTTTTTTTGTTTAAAAAAAAAGAAGTATTAATAACGTTCTTTACATAAGCACTACTCAGCTTTATAGTTATAATATTAAATGCATCCGTTAATTATGTGCTGCAAATTAAGACCTGAAAGTGGATTTAAATTTTTACTATGTCAAATTGATTGTTATTTATAATATGTATAATAGATCTTCTAAACTTTCAAGAACAAAATATGTATATATAGTGTAGCATGGAATTAACAACAGATAAATAAAAAATCAACTTGTCCTAATCCTTTATCGGTTATGATATTAATTGATGCCAGGACCAATAAATACATATTACGTGTATTAAACAAGTAGTGACTAATGCTACGTATGAATATGAAGTTTGTTATTATTATTATTATTATTACGTAGAAGAAATCGAGGAAATAAAATAACCACCACACACATTAAACTTTTTAATAAGCTCCTTAGTACGGTAATAAAAATTAGAAAGAAAAATAAAATAATAAAAAATAATCTTGACGACAATATCTACACTAGCTTGTAGTATTATTCCGTGGATTCCCTATAAAAATTATTACGTTACGTGAGTGTCACAGCATAGCGAACTTTCGATGTGATTGGCTAATTTTCGTAGATCATTTGATTAATTTTCCTAAAACATGATTGGCTGATTGGGCTGATAAATTACATTTAAAAAAAAAAAAATTTATATACATAACCGTAATAAAAAAAATTTTATTATAAGTGTAATAAAAAAAAAAAAAAATTGAAAATATAATTTTTTGCGCAGCTTGGCCTTCTTAGCTAAGCTTACGTTTACAAACAAGCAAAGTGCCAAGTCAGAAAAACTAATGTTGATTAGTATTCGAAGTCGATTCTAAAGTCAAGCATGCCAAAGTCGCTTAGAGTTGCCAAGTTTGCTTGCTGCTGGTAATGAATATATTCCATTCCATTAGACCGTATTTTTCTCAAATTAATTTTAATTCATTTAATTTAGAATAAAGAGCGAATGTAAGGCATTCGTTTATTATTAAAAATAAGTAGAAAAATGTAAAGAGTAAATTATAATAATGAGATTAAAAGCTGTATTATTTAACATTGTAATTTAATAAATTTTTGTAAAAAATTTAATAAAAAACCAAATCAATTTATCGATTTAAAAATTTTTAATTTTATTTAAAAAAAATTATATATATACAATGGCAACTAAATTATGCCCCCGTTAAAATATTTATAGCCCTCTCAATACGTAAATCTATGTTATTCTCTACAGAGAGGCTTTTAACACTACTATCACTAGTTTCAGTTCTATTCGCTCTATTCGCCTCATTTACATTCTCATCTATTTTTATCGTAGTGGTTGACTCCAAAGTTTTTTGAAAAGCTTTACAATTACTTTTAATCCCACTTATAAGATAGTCGGCGCAGTATCGGCATTGACTTTCTAAATTAAATAAAAAACATTCGTAATGATAAGCGTGTTCACATATTAAAATACAACCTACCTCACAAGGGTCTACACAACCTTCCAAATCACAGTGCCTGTCTTCTCGAGGAGGGTGAGCCGTATTCCAAGCCATTGGCAATATCTTGGCATCAACTTTAGCCTTAAATGTTGGAAGTTTATACAATTCGGATTCAGAACCTTCATCAGATAAGACAGCTTTCGATTTACCGATATTTGTATATACATCTGTAAAAAGATTTAATAAAAAAAGTGCAGCACTCTTTTCAAGATATTCCAGCTGTTTAGCTGAATATCTAATATTATGACCCTCGGAAAATGTGTTAGTAAATGAATTTCCACCACGCATCTGATTGATTGCCCGCGCCTGTTGAATAATTTGTTCTGCCGTATTCGATTCCTGAATTTGCCGCCGAAGAGAACTGTGAAAGTTTTCTACATAATAATCGTTAAAAGTATGAATAGAATCTGAAAGAATATGTAAGATTGGATGATTAGTATTAACCCAAAAAAAAACATCACTTAAAAACGCTAATGGCAATTTGTTGTAATGTCGACGCTGATATTGATGAAAGATAGCCCAAATACGAAACATGGCTTCTAAATATGCTGTCCAATTTCCACTACGAAATATAATGGGATAAAAATCCAAAACCAACGGGATAACGTTGTCCAACAAGTTAATAAGATATCTGGCTTCTAAATCTTTAGACCGTTCAAATTTTTGTAAAATCAGTAAACGCACTCAAGACCAACCCTGAGACGCTAATTCTAAAAGCAAATTAATCTTATAAGGTTTTGGCTTTTTTGCCAAAACCTTATTTTCTCCGAATATTTTATGAAAGAGTAAGTCAAAAAATTCATAATTTAACAAAAAAACAGTTTCACAACTATTTAAGGATACATGCAATGGCCCAATCATTGGAACAATATGCAAAATTTGTTCTAGTATTCCAGATCTTATGGCTTTAATGTGATGTACAATGGCACGCTGTATATGAAGTTGTCTAGGATAGTCCATAGGCGCTACTAATACCTGTATTTCCAAGTAGGTTTTTATTTCAGGATTATCTATTAAGTGTTTAACCGCAACTACATAATCTTCAGTTAATTTAAGGGACCCTTTTTTTAGATCAACCAGCTTTGTATTCTCCATACTTCGATCAGTGCGGCATTGTTCGATTCTGTTGTCATAGCTATGAATTAAAAGCCACTCAACTCGTTCATCATGGGTCTCTGACGTAGGTGTCAAATCTGTAAATGCCTGCTTCCGTCCTGTATAACCAAGCCATAAATGAGAAAAGAAAAATGAGTTAGCATTTGATATAATAATATTTGCATCAATACCCCATTCATTGTGAATATTTTTTTCTTGGTTATGGGGGTTGTAAAACGGAATAGAAGCCACTTCTGGAATAGCTTTCAAAAGTATTGTAACAAAATGGGCAATATCATGCGTATTTGTTACATCACAACGACGGTATCCGTGGATATTATGGAAATCATCCACATTAAGGATGACCAAATTTTCATTCTATTAAAAAATTAATTTATTAATTATTGTATTGTAAAACAAAACCTTTATACCCTATAACGTTTATAAAAAAAAAAAAAAAAAAAAATTTTTTTTTATATATTTACATTATCAGTTAAAAATTTTTCTACTGTCGATGCATGTTCTTTTGAACGCTGAGCCTTCTGCCTTGCAATGGTTATACGTCTTACTGCCAAGCCCGCACTAGCTAATGTCTCTATTGCCGATGAAGAAGTTCTAGACGCATCTAACATAAATCCAACATCTGCCTTAATTCCATTAATAAACTTATTATTAAGCCCTGCTAAAAAATAACAAAATGTAACTAATCTTTTCTTATTTTTTTCGTTAGTCATATTATTTTTCTTTTGCGGGTTAGTCCCAGCTACTAATTGATTAAAAAAATCCTTCTACGATGGCTCAGCTTCCTTGAGCATTTTTTTAAATTCTTCTGGATCTAAAATAGGCTTTTCATTAAATGCTCGCTGCCTTGTATACAATACCCCCG